ACTTCTGAACTGTGAGCCCAAATAAACTTTTCCTCCTTTGTAGGTTGGTTTTCTCATGGATTTTGTCACAGTGACTAACACAGTGCCCCGTAAATGTGCTGACCTACGGTGTGCGTTGAAGTCCTCGTGGCAGAGGCTGCTCTTCACCTTCCTGATCTCTGTTCTTTCTTTCCTCTTTGGAGTTATCCAACCTCGAGTTTTGGCTGAGCATATTGTTTCCCGGCATCAAAGGCACATTTCTGAATTTCCCTCAAAGCCAGGAACTATGTCCCAGTCAATGAGAAATAAGTGTGACTACTGAGTGGGGGGACATCTAGGACAGGTGGGAACTGACAGAGCTGGGAGGAACCTTGTTTTTGCTCTTTGGTTTTTCTACCTTTATGTGATCCTGGTCGTGATGGCAGGGCCTCTGGCAGCTGTGTTGGACCAAGCAGTGACCTCAAGGAGGAAAGCCAACTGTGGTTGGTCGGGCAGAAAAGAGAAAGAGGCTGGGTCACTGATAGTGGCCTGTCTACAATCCTGGGCTGCCCACGTCTGGGCTTGCTTTATAAAAGAGAAATAACATGTACCCTCTGGAAGCCGCCATGATTCATCCTAGCTTACGCCCTCTCTTCCAGCACATGATGCTCAGCGCCACTCCCACCATTCCCACGTGGGGAAAGTCGCATAGACTGACCCCATGAATACACTGAAGGCAAAGAGACTAACGCTGGCCTGAGGAGCTCCTGGGATCCCTCTGGGTTCTGTTCACAGAGGCCCAAAGGAAGATGCTGTCTTTGGGAGGGAGGGGGATGCTGTCGTGACCCTGACGGAGTGTCGACCTGCTCTTGGCCTACAGGGGGTCATGAGCGTGGACCCACGGCTCCGGGTGGTCCTCACTCTGCAAACTTGGGAAGGCGGGCTGGGCGTGGTGGCGCATGCCGGAATCCCAGCCACCTGGGAGACCAAAGCAGGAGGATCACGGGTTCTCTAGGCCAGCCTCGGCAATGTAGCAGTACCCTGTCTCAAAATATTAAATAAATAAATAAAGGACTGGGAATGTAGGTTAGTCGTAAAAAGTCTCTGGGTTGAATCCCAGTAAATGCCCACCTCCACCCCTACAAACAAGAAGAATGGAAGGATGGTTGCGTTTGTAGGTGGTAGTCCCTAAAGCTTAGGACAAAAGCCATTGTATGGGCCCCCCTTCCCAATGGGGAGGCTCTTCAGAACCTGCCCCTTCCCCCTCTGAGCACACCCAGGGCTGGACCCTGCTTCAAAAGGTACCACCAGGGCCACAGAACAGGAGGCGCCTCCCATCTCCCACCCTGTGCCTGACAGAGCCCCCTGTGGTCTGGACTGGAGGGCAGGAGGTTAAATGACACCCTCTGATGCATGACAAAAGTCCCAGGGACAGAAGGCCGACCCCAAGAGTGTGCGAGGGTCCTGCCAGGTCTCCACTCACCACTGTCCCGCTGGGTGATCTCGGGTTTGTAAGTGATTTTGGAAGCAAGTAACAGAAGACCAAACTCTAAATGGTTTGAACATGGGGACTGGGGATGTGGCTCAAGCGGTAGTGCGCTTGCCTGGCATGCGTGCGGCTCGGGTTCGATCCTCAGCACCACATACAAACAAAGATGTTGTGTCTGCCGAGAACTAAAAAATAAATATTAAAAATTCTTTCTCTCTTTCTCTCTCTTAAAAAATATAAGTAAATGGTTTGAACGTGGGAACTCTTTTTTATGGAATAAACAACAAAAAAGCAAGGTAAGGCCACCCCCAGGCTGGGTTAATTTGGCAACCATAGCCTCAGGAAGAAGCTGCCTTTCATCTTCCTGCTCTGTTCTCTAGAGTCATTGGAACAATGCCCCATTCTCCACCTCATCCCTTAATTCACATCCTGTGCTATGTGACTGCACTAATCACATCTCCAGGACAGTCACCAGCCCCAGTCCCCTGACACTGGGCTCAGTCACGTCCCTCTCTTTGGCCATGCAGTGCTAGCACCTGGATGCAGGCAGGGGCTTGATATGGGCAGCACACAAGATTATCCTTGATGCCTCTGCCATCACCACGGCACCTTCTGGAAGATGAGACCTTTGGGGCAGACCTGAGCTGACCTACATCACCTAAGTCCACTCGTGGGAGCAATGAGGTTGCTTGTTACGCAGTGTTATTGTGGCCATCGGTGACTGATATATGTCCTCAGCCCATGGACTTAAGCCTTAGGGTAGCTCTCCTCATGACCCCAAGATGGCTGCTGCAGTTCCTGAATCCACACGTAGCCAACAATAATCAAAAGCAAGAAATAAAATAAAATAAAAGAGAGTATTCCTAACCCAGGTCCATTTATCAGAGCAAGGAAAACCACCAGACCCCCATGGGTTGCTCAGCCCACACGGCATCTCAGACCTGTGCTCAATCAGGTTTTGGCAAGAAATTCACATGGCTCATCAGTCAAAAATTACCCCTCGGGAGAAGGCCAGGTCCCTGGGACGAAGAAGGACAAGCAAAATGGGTTCATGAAGGGTATACATTTGTGTGAGGTGTGGGAATGGCTAGGGGACCAGCAGCAGAGACCATGTCCCCACGGCATCTTGGAGATTTAGTTTCCCTATCTGTCAAATGGAAAGAACACCTGCTCCATCTACTTCCCTGGGCAAGATGGGAAAACAGTACCAGGCCCTCGAACATGAGTTTATTCCCTGAAAGAGACCTCTGGTGTCTCTGTTGCTTTTTTTGTGTGTGGTGCTGGGGATTACACCCAGGGCCTTGTACATCCTAGGAAGGAAGGTGCTTTATCACTGAGCAAAACCCTCAGGGCTCTGGGCTAGTCTGTCTTTCCTTCCTTCCATTTTCTTTTCTTTGTTTCTTTTTGGTACTAGGAATGAACCCAGGAGTATTTTACTACTGAGCTACATCCCCAACCTGTTCTTTTTGGTACCAGGGATTGAACCCAGGGCAGTTAATCACTGAACCACGTCTCCAGTCCTTTTTCATATTTTACTTAGAGACAGAGTCTCACTAAGTCACGTAGCGCCTTGCTTTTGCTGAGGCTGGCTTTGAACTCATGATCCTCCTACCTCAGCCTCCGGAGCCGCTGGGATTACAGGCCTGTGCCATCATGTCTGGCTCCAAACTCTCATTTTAAATTTTGAGACAAGGTCATCCTAAGGTGCTGAGGGTCTCACTAAATCAAGGCTGGCCTGGAATTTCACTCCTGTCCCAGCCTCTGAGTAGCAGGGGGACAGGCAATACCGCCATGCCTGGCTCTGCTGGTTCGTTTCGTTTTGTTTAGAATTTGATCTTTATTTTATATATTCACTTTTTTGTGGTGCAAAGGATCAAACCCAGTGCCTCACACATATTAGGCAAGTGCTCTGCCACTGAGCTACAGCCCCAGCCTCCTGCTATTTTTTTCTTTCTTTTTTTTAAGTGGAGCTAGGGATTGAACCCGGGGCCTTGTGCATGTGAGGCAAATACTCTACCAACCGAGCTAGCTCTCTGCTGGTTCTTAATGGACTCAGAAGCCATTCCAGAATAGTTCTCCAGCTTTCTCCTGGTCCTTAGTGGTGAGGCCTCTTGGAAGGTGACCGTCTCATTGAGTCAGGTTTTGTTGTGGTTCATCCAACAGGGCCCATGGGGTCAGGCCACTCTTGTTACCTGTGGGCAGCTCTCCTTTTAGTAGATGGACTGTCAATCATCTGCAGAAGTTGGGGGTGGGGCCCAGGGAGGAACCAGGAACTCCCTCGTTTGGGCTGATAGGGAAAGGGCCACAGCTTGGGGAAGCAGCATCTATTCTAGAAGAGGGAGATGGTAGGGTAGAGCCCTGGCGGAACCCTTGCAAACTGGTACCCTGCCCAGGTATCTGCAACCTCAAGAGTTTCCACAGGAAAGAGAGTCTCAGAGCATGGGGAGGCGCTTTTAGGTCCAGCAGCCCCCATCCATCCATCCATTTCCCTGCAGCATATACCCTTAGGAATCCACAAATTTCTTCATTCAAAGTGATGCCAGAGTTCTTAGAGGTGTATCTGTGAAATCTGTTTTTTTTTTCTTTTTAATACTGGGGAATGAACCCCGGGTCTCAGACATGCGAGGCAAGCACTTGTACCACTGAGCTGCACCCCCGCCTGGTCAAGCTCACATTTGCATCTGGGTCAGCTCACTCACAGACAAGCACACAAAGTGTGGGCTGAAGGAGATTTGTGAATAAAGTCAGCAAAGCCAAATCCTGAACCTGTTAGCAATGGGTCCCAGTCCCCCGCTCTTCTGCCAGGGCCCTGACATATCACGTTAATTTGTGGGGTGCCTCTGCGGCAGTGTGCTTGCCCACATGAACCGGGCTGCTCGCTGCGGCTTGGCTTGAAGCATTCAGAAGAAGCCAGACTGTAGGTGCCTAACAGAGCAGGGAACAGCCACAGAAGCCATCCAAGGCAGGCAGCCACTGAAAAAGGACCAGGCCGCTTCCTTTTCTTTTCTTCCATATTTATTTTACTTTTTTATTGGTGCATTTTATTATTTTATTGATGCATTTTAATTATACACAGTAGCGGAATCCATTGCTATGTGCACATGCCCATAATATACAATGTAACTTGGCCAGTATCATCCCTCAGACTTCCCCTCACCTTCCCCTCTTCCCTCCCGGGTCCCTTTTCTCTATTGATCGCCATTTGATTTTTCAGGAGACAGCGCCCCCCCCACCCCCCACGCCCACCCACACACCTTTCTTATCCTTTTTTCTCTCTAGTTTCCACATATGAGAGAAAACATGCGACCCTTGACTTTCTGATTTTGGCTTCTTTCATTTAACAAATGACACCCTCTCATTCTTCATTATGGCTGAATAAAACTCCATAGTAAATTAAAATTTATTTATTTATTTATTTATTTATTTATTATTAAAGAGAGAGAGAGAATTTTTTAATATTTTATTTTTTAGTTTTCAGCGAACACAACATCCTTGTTTGTATGTGGTGCTGAGGATCGAACCCAGGCCGCACGCATGCCAGGCGAGCGCGCTACCGCTTGAGCCACATCCCCAGCCCCGTAAATTAAAATTTAAAAAAACAATGTTAAAAAAAAAACCCAACTCCACAGTAAATCCATAGTGCATTTTTCTTTGGTGGACACAGAGGTCTGTTTCTTGGTTGGGCTACTGTGACCTGGGATGCTGTAAACCTGGTGGGCAGGTCTTGCTGCAGGATGACGCTTGGATTCTTAGGATAGATGCGGAGGAGCATTGGGTACAGCCGGCCACTCTCTGTGACCTGATGAGGAAAAGCTCCAAGGGGCTCACGTGAAAAAAGCCAGGTCCAGGGCAGCGTGTCCACATCTGCCTGTGCGTGCGAGGAACCTCTCTGCAGGGATGCGCTCTGCAGGGACGCGCTCAGGAAGCTGCTAAGAGTGGCCGTCTCTGGGGAGCTTACCGGAGGAACGTGGAGCAGGCATCCAAGGGCAGCAAGGAAATGGACTATCTCAGAGCCTTTTGCAGGGCTTTAAAGTTTTGTCATGGGGCAGTTTTCCCTGTTTTAAATAATAGATTCATTTTAAAAGATTTTGACCATTGCCCCCCCCCCCCCAACCTGACTTAACCCTCCCTGTGGGCAGGGTCTGGTTAGTCCCATTTCAAAGGAAGGAAGGCTGAGTCCAGGAGAAACAGAGACGGGCCCAAGGTCCCCAGGAGGGTTCCAGCCAGACCTGAGCTCAGAATGGGCGTGGCGGTCACCCTTTCCGGCCAGCCTTCCCCAGTGGCCAGCAGCATGTCCTGCAGGCGCCCTCCAGTCTGGGCATCCAGAGGGCTGGGATGCCAAGATGGAGACAGTGGAGTGGCTAAGAGTGTCCACGGCGAACCTCGCTGACATGGCGAGGCCTCAACCCGCCAGCCAGCCCAGTTCCCATCACAGTGCGTGGCTTGCAAAATACCTTCTTAAAACGCCTGTCACAGCTTATCTCATGTCAAAAATTGATTTTCTTTTTGGATGACACACAATATGAACCAGCTGCTCAATGATCTCTCTATCAGCCACAGACTCCGCACGACACTCACCGCCACTGTCCCTGACTCTCTTTGAGCAGAACTGGAACTGACCCAGATGGGGATGGGAGAGGCTGAGTCCCTGGTGAGCCTGTGGGGCCAGGGCTGCCCGGAAGGCTTCCCAAATGACTAACGGGGCTCCTATCTGCCTGAGGAGGCCATGAAAGGTCCCTACTGGACCACCTGCAGGAGAGAAGCCGCGCTGAAAGAGAGCAAAGTCCTGAACAGGAGCATCCAACATGTCACAGTTGTGACCAGGGGTCACATGGTCTCCGGGTAGAGCTGATCCATTAGGAGAACTTTGGGTGGCTCCCCAGTCAGGAAATAGCATCCTCATTTTACAGATGGACTGTTCTGGGCTGAGGTCTGCCTTTGTCACCACCCTGTGGCACCCCATTCCCTCCACATAACAGCTGGTAAGTATGAGCCCTAATCTACTGATCCCAACACAAGCCTTGGGGAGGGGCCGTGGAGTGACAAGGGAGAGGGACCCCAGTGGGAATTCACTGGCTTGTCCTTCCTTCCTTCCTGCACTAAACCCAAGGGAACTCTACCACCAAGCTGCATCCTCAGGCCTTTTATTTTTTATTTTGAGACAGGATCACATTAAGTTGCTGAGGCTGGCCTTGAACTTATGATCCTCCTGCCTTAGCCTCCTGAGCAACTGTAATTACAGGCATGTGCCACTATGCCCTCCTTCATTGGTTCTTTCAACAAATATTTGGTGAGGGTCTATGAGGTGTTGGACACCTTTCTGGGAGTTACAGATATCAGAAAACAAAATAGAAAAGAAATCTGTTCTGAGAGCTTTGTTTTATTTTAAAATGTTTGGTGCTGGGAATTGAACCCAAGGCCTTGTGCGTGTTAAGCACACACTCTACCACTGAGCAACATCCCAGCCCCCAGGGCACTTTAAACGGGGTGATCAGAGAAGGCCTTAGTCAGGAGGTACCATCTGAGCTCATATATTTATTTTGGTACTGGGGATTGAATCCAGGGGCACACTACCACCGAGCTACATCCCTAGCCCTTTTTATCTTTTATTGAGACAGGGTCTCCCTAAGTCACCCAGGCTGGCCTCAAACTTGCATCCTCCTGTCTCAGCCTCCCGAGTAATTGAGATCTCAGGTGTGTGCCATTGCACCTAGCTTTTATTTAATATTAATTTTTTTGAGATGGGTCTTGTTATGTTGCCCAGCTGGCCTCCAACGTCCAGGTTTGAGGTATCTTTCTACCTCAGTCTCCTGTGTGCTAGGACCGCAGCAGCTTGGCTAGCTCAGACCTGACCCAGGCTTGGGAGAACCTGGAGGTCTGGTTTTCAGTGTGTGGTGCTGAGGATGGAACCCGGGGCCTGGCACGTGCCAGCTGAACGCTCCACCACTGAGCCACATCCCCAGCTCAGGACCCGGATTTCATAGTGTCTTAGAGTGGCCCAAGACATCTGCTCAGCCCCAGTCACAGTGCAAGTCTTTACTGGCCTGGGATTGGGAGCCTGTGGGCCAGGTGTCCATCCCTGGTCCCGTCAGCTGTAACCAGGGGTCATGGGGTCTCCGGGTAGAGCTGTTCCTTAGGAGAGCGTTGGGTGGCTCCCTGGTCAGGAAACAGCATCTTCATTTTACAGATGGATCTTACAAGAGCTCGATTCAGAGGCTCTCCTGTCAAGGACAGCCTACGGAGCCATCGTGTTCACCTTGCCGGCCTGGTGGGCTGGCTTGCGTTTGTTTTAATTGAGCCAACATTTAAAATGGGAAATTTGGGGCTGGGGATGTGGCTCAAGTGGTAACGTGCTCGCCTGGCATGTGCAGAGCGCTGGGTTTGATCCTCAGCACCACATAAAAATAAAAATAAAGATGTTGTGTCTGCCGGAAACTGAAAAATAAATATCAAAAAATTCTCTTTCTCTCTCTTCTCCTCTCTCTCTCTCTCTCTCTCTTTAAAAATAAAAATAAAATTAAAAAAAAATAAAATGGGAAATTTGGGCTGGGGTTGGGACTCATGGTAGAATGCTTGTCTACCATGAGTGAGGCCGTGAGTTCGTGCCCAGCAACAAAAAATAAAATAAAATGGGAAGTTTTATATTTCACCCTGGTTTTTAAAAAATTACCCTGGAAACAATCGTGTCTGACGGCTCATTTTTTCCTCCAGCGCCATGGCTAGAGGAGCCGGCCTTCCTGTGGAGTTCCTGCTCTTCCTACAGATGCGTGGGACTCACCTGGCCCCTGTGGCCATAGGACGTGCCACCTGGAGCCTGTGGTTTGTCCAGGGTCACAGAGGAGCTGGTGGGAACCAGAACTGGGCCTCCTATCTCCAGGGTGCTTCCTGTGACTGCTCCTGTGGCCTCCTGCTGGGGACACTCCCCTCTGTGCTGCCACCAGAGGACCCTCTGAGCACACAGCACAAGGCGACCTCCTGGGGCTCTGCCATCCACATCTGCCAGTGACATGTCATTCTTGCTGGTACGGAGTCCTTTAATCCCTTCTCATGAAGCACTCAAATTTATTCGCAGTGAGGATGAGAGAGCCGGGTGCACCTGGGCCTGGGGAGGCAGAGGCCATGTTCATTTCCCTGATGTGCACGGCCTGAGCTCACGTGGGTTCAAAGAAGTGTCTGAAGAGGTTTCCAGCAAGAGGCTGGAGATGTGGTTTTAGGGGACTGGGGGGGCCAGGGCCTTCACTTCACGGAAGGTGGGCTTTGGGGGCTGGGTGGGAGGGGTGCTGAGAAGCCAAGCCCAGGCTCTGAGGCAGACTCCAGATACGACAGCACCCGCTCCCTGCCTGGGAGTTTGCAGGCAGCCAGCTCAGCCGAGTCCCTGCAGGGAACAGCGCATTGCAGAGAGGGAGGAGGGAGAGTCATGGGCAGGTGGGGCTCAGGTCCATCTTGGCTGCCCCGTGTGACCTTGGAGCTAGTAAGACCTCAGGACTGAGATAAACCCCTCATTCTTCCTTCCTGCATTCAGATAACATATGCTTGTTGAGCACCTACTATGTGCCCGTATCTGAACTGAGCTGTGGAGCTCAGGAAGAAGGTAGTTTGCGACTAGTGGTGACATAAGGGATGGAATATGTGAACACATACAGGGGCCAGGACGGAGAGTCCTGGTGGCCAGGAAGAAGTCACTTTGAGGCTGAAGCAGGGAGGACAGAGAGGGGTTGGTGGTACAGCGTGGAAGCCTTGCAGAATGAGCAGAGCCAGGCCTGATGGCCGGAGAGGAGCCCGGGGCCGCGGGGAGAGGAGAAGTCCAGGTGTCTGGCGGAGTGGGGGAGGGAGCGGGAAGCAGGAGGCCATATGGCTGGAGAGGTGGACAGGCCTCCCAGGGCCTCGGATAAGTCCTGGATTTTGTCACGTGGCCATGGGAGCCATGTAAAGACAGCGAGCAGGAGGAAGACATGGGGGGAATTGTGGGAGGCAGCCAGAGAGGGCCAGGCGTGCAGAGCTAATGCTGGTCAGAGACTCTGGTGCTGGCACAATAGCAGGGCAGCGTGTGCAGCGGGAATGTCCAACGATGGCTGCCCAGGACCTCCCGGAGCCCGGGGGAGCAGCTGAGGCCTGTTCCCGCCCAGGAGTGTGGCCTTGGGGCTTTCCCTAAGTCTGTTGTGGAAATCAGTCTCCACTGTGGAGTCAAGGGGCCCTCGAAGGCCCAAGCTGGAGCTCGCCTTAATCTAGGCAGACACCCCCTCCCGGCTGCCTGTCCAGCTTGTGTCATTTAAAAATTCTCTTTGTCTGAGCAAAGACTTCGGCAGGGACCAGGTCCTGAGGATCCACTGCAAGGCAGAGGAAGCGCCCAACACACCCTGGCCCTGGGGGTCGGCTGACACCAGCACGGATGGCCTTGGCTGTGAGCTGCCACAGTCACAGCATCAGGGGGTGAGAGGGGAGGCCTGAGCCGGGGACCTCCACCTCCCAGCCTCTCCATCTCCCAGCACCTCCCGCCTGGAGCCAGGATGTACACAGGCCTCTCAGAGGTCTGCATCCGCGTCTTCCTCGCAGGGCCATTTGGTGGCTCTGGGGGCTTTCTGAGGTCTTAAGGCCTCCCTGAGCAGTGGGCAAGTCAAGGGGTGGCTTAGGGGACCAGCTTTTCCTGCCACCCAATTAAAGGCACAATCCAGGTAAGGACGTGGGCCTGTTCTTGGGCTTTCCACAGCCCCAGCCAGTCTGCGAGCAGCCCCTGGCCGTGCCTGGCCGCCCTGCGGGGTGGCTGGATTTGAGACGAGAGGTCGGTGGGATTCCCTGATCCAGGCCACACCTGCGACTTTCGGAGAGCCAGGCCCAGCCTGTGGGGTCCACTCCTCCTGAGGTGCTCTTGGCGCTGGTGCAGCCTGGCCCTCCTGCAGCTCCGGCCTGCCTCCTCACCGACCATTGTGTCTGGGCTTCAGAAGTCACAGTCTGCCCCCTTCTGGTGGCTGGAGATTCTCGGGAAGCCTTTGACAGGCAGGCCCTCCAGCTCAGGGGACAGGGTCAGGACTGCACCAGCCCCTCCCAGGTTCTAGCTTCGGCCCTGACTGGGGCAGTGCCCTCTCCCTTCACAAGGACAAGAGCCTCACCTGTCCTCCTCTGACCCTCCCTGTAAACGCCGTCACAGAGCAGGGCTGAGGCAGGGGCTGGCAATTCTCCACCTTGAACCTTGTGTTCCGCCGTCAGCCCAGGCTGTCTTCAGTGACCTATAAACTGATTTTTAAAGATGAATATGCTAATTGCCCTGGCACAGTAAATTTGCACAGTTGTGTGTGTGTTCAAAGTGTTTATCTGTTAAAGCTATTTATACGAGATATATCACGGTGATAGAAACTTGATCTGGTGCTTCTTTTTCTTCATGAACATAAGAGAAGCCTCAAAACTGGAAATGGCCTTGCCTTGCCCTCTGCCCAGGACCAGACCCCAGCCATGAGGTATGAAAGGAGGGACTCCGTCTCAGGGAGATACAGACCCCTGGCAGGTTCTCAGTCGCATCTGCACCCTTGGAGAGACCAATGCCTCTAAGCTAAGATGTAGAGCTTGGGGTCAGCAGATCTGGGCTCAGTTGTAGCCATCTCCAATGACTAGCTGTGTGGCACTGGGCAAGCGACATAACCTCAGTGTCCCTCACTTTTCTCATCTGTAAAATGGAGCTAATAATGCAGGCTCCCTGATTCAGCAGATGAGAGATTAGGTGAGACTGTGAGTGGAAATATGCACCCTAAGGCCGGGACCCAGGGGACAGGGGCCCTGTGAGACCCCATGTGCTGGCCTTGAGAGCACTTTCATGATGACACACAGGGCTAGGCTCATGACCTGCCATGGATGATGCAGTTGGCGCTCAGGGAAGCCAGGACCTCCCGGGCAGTCACTGGTCAGCTGCAGTGCTCCCTCCGCATGCCAGGCCTGCCCGGTCCAGCTCTCTAGGGCTCAGTGGCCCATTGGGCTGACTTCTTTTCCTGTCAGTTCACAGAGCACCTAGTCAGTGCCCAGCAGGGGCCCAGGGCCAGGGTGAGGGCCAGAAAGGCCCCCACCCCCGGGGACTCACAGTCTCTAGAAGACAGGTGCCCATGCAGCTGCGTTCCAGGTAGGTGCTGCTCTGCGATTCAGAGGACCGAGCTGCAGCAGTATGGGGCTGAGGGCGGCAGGGACGGTTCATTTTAGTCCTCAACTTGGCAGGATTGAGGGATGCCTGGAAAATTGGCAAAGTGCATGGTTCTGGGTGTCTGTGAGGGTGTTTCCAGAGAAGACTGACAGGTGGATAAGCAAACGGAGAGGAGGAGACCCACCGGGATTGTGGACAGCACCGGCCAATAGGCTGGGAGCCCAGATGGACGAATAGAGCGAAAGGAGGAGCTCACTCCGGCTCCCGCTCAGCTCTTCTTAAACATTTTTTCCTGCTGCTGTCACCCATGGACATGAGACTCCAGATTCTGCGATCTTTGGACGTGGATTCACACCGGGGCTTTCAGGCCTTTAGCCTGGGTCTGGGGCAGCATCACCTCTCGTCTGCGGCTCCAGCTTCTCGTACGGAGCAGCTACCGGTTTCCCTGGCTGTCCAGCCTGCCCACGGCCATTGTGGGGCCATTCTGCCTCTGACCACGCGAGCCAGCGCAGCAGATCTGCTCTTAAAAGTTAATACATTCTACTGGTGTTGTACCTCTGGAGAGGGGTTTCAGCTCAGTCCCAGGGGTGTTTGTTGGGGACTTAGGAGGGACATCCTCGGGTCCCAGGGAGGAGAGAAAAGGCATGTGCAACCTTCTCCTCTGAGCAGCTGAGAGTTAGTGTTTCGGGAGGAGGTTGGCTGCATGGAGACTGCACAGTTCTTCGTTTGCCCGTCTAGTCTCTCTTTCACCTTGTATTTTTGGTGGTGCTGGGGATGGAACCCAGGGCCTATGCATGCGAGGCAAGCACTCTACCAACGGAGCTATGTCCCCAGCCCCAAGTCTCTTTCACTTTTAAGTGACAAACACCAACTCAAACGGGATTAAGTATAAATGGGGATTTACTGGGTCATAGAGTGCGGCTGCTCTCCAGCGCCACAGGACCAGGGCTCAAGGCGCAGGAGCCACGGCTTGCCTGCACCCATCCTGCAGGGCTTCTCTCAGCAGACCCCCCTCTAGGATGGCGTTCCAACAATTTGGCAATTACACCCCCCAGGAGGTTCCAGCACAAGTTCCAAGGAAGGCTGTCGTTGGACCAGGGGTCATGGCCAGGGGTCACCTAACCACTGCAGCCCAGTGGTGGAACGTCCTGATGGCCAGGCCCAAGCCACCCAACACCTCTGGAGCCTTAGGCTTAAGCAGTCAGTCCCCTGGCCGAGACCTGGGGAAGGGTGGGGCTCCAAAGGGATATGAAGGGCTACGAGCAGAGAATCTCTGTGGTGAAACCACAGATGTCTACACATTATCCTCAAGTGTTTGGGATTCAGGGTTTTTTCATGCCTGAAAGTTGTTATTTTACGCTAAATTCAGAAGGGAAATAAAAAGGTGCTGACATCAGTCTGGCAGCCTGCAGACCAAGGCCTGGACTCTTGAAGAGGCCCCAGGGTACAGAACAGGTGATACCATGGAGTGTCCAGCCACAGAACCCCAAGACTTGGCCTCACACAAATATGGGGCTGCCCGGACAGCCACAGCTCCCTGGACAGCCTGGGTCTTACCTCTGTGGTGCCCTGGAGCTGTGAAGCCCCAACCTAGCTGCATGTCACACATTAAGGAGTTGATTAAGGAGCACTTGAACCTGAGTTCAATCCACGGTAACCCCCCCCCCACACACAAAAAGATGAGGATTTTCCCACAAGACTCTTGAAGGTATCTTTTTCTTTATATATTTATTTTTTATTTGTTGATGGGCCTTTATTTTATTTATTTATATACGGTGCTGAGAATCGAACCCAGTGCCTCATATGTGCTAGGCAAGCACTTTACCACTGAGCCATGACCCTAGGCTCACTTGAAGGTATCTTGAATTAAGATGTTTTGCAATTATTGTGCCTCTTTCATGGGGTGATTGTTCTTTCTCTCAGATCCTCCTTGCACCCCAACAAAATATCTCACTAGGTAGATGAGATCTTAGGAGCAAAGGAAAGTGTAATTTAAAAAAATATATCCATTGCTCTGATTGTAGAAAATCCAAAGGAGTTGACTATATAAACCAGCACACAGAGAAGCGATTACAGTAAGCATGCAGGATACAAGGTTAATATGCAAAAATATGTTGCTTTCCTGTGTACCAGCAAGTTGAATTTGAAATTAAAAACACAATCCCAGGCCTGGGGGTGTGGATTTGTGGTAGAGCTAGCCTAGCATGGACAAGGCCTGGGGTTCAGTCCCCAGCACCACAAAATAAATCAATAAAAGTCTGCTAGTTAAAAAAATTAAAACAACAACAACAACTAGGTTTTAAAAAAGTTTAAAAAATACCATTAGCTGGGTGCAGTGATACATACCTGTGATCCCAATGGCACAGGAGGCTGAGATAGGAGAATCACAAGTTCAAAGCCAGCCTCAGCAATTTAGGGAGGCCCTCAGCAACTTAGTGAGATCCTGTCTCAAAAAAAAAAAAAAAAAAAAAAAAAGAGTCAGGGATGTAGCTGGTAAAGTGCCCCTGGGTTCAGTTCCCAGTATCTAAAAATAAGTAAGTAAATAAATAAAATAAAAAACAAGCCAGACATGGTGGAGCACGCCTGTAATCCCAGCGGCTTGGGAGGCTGAAACAGGAGGATGGCGAGTTCAAAGTCAGCCTCAGCAAAAAGCAACTCAGTGAGACCCTGTCTCTATACAAAATATAAAATAAGATGTGGCTCAGTAGTCAGTGCCCCTGAGTTCAACCCCAGGTACCCCCCTCTAAAAAAAATACCACTTGCATTAGGACCCAAAAGAATGAGATACTTAGAAACAAATATAAGAAACATGTACAAAAACTCTGTGAGAAAAAACTCTAATGAAAGATACCAACGAAGACCTAAATAAATGGAGAGCTGCTCCATGTTTATGAAGAGGAACTCTCAATGTTGTCAAGATGTCAGTTCTTCCCAACTTTTATTTTTGTGATACTGGGAATTGAACCCAGGGATGCTCTACCACTGAGCTACATCCCCAGCCCTTTTATTTTTCATTTTGACACAGGGTCCTGCTAAGTTGCTGAGACTACCCTTGAACTTGCAATCCTCCCGCCTCAGCCTCCCGAGTTGCTGCAATTACAGGTGTGTGCCACTAAGTCCAGCTCCAACTTTTAGATTCAACATAATCCAAATAAAAATTTCAGCAAGTTATTTTTTGGATCTTTTTTTGGGGGTGGGGGTGGGGTTCTATAGTTTATTTGGAATAGTAAAAGACCCAGCCTAACCAACTTCATATTGAAAGAGAAGAACAAAGTCAGAGGACTGACACTCCCCCAGCTTTAAGACTTACTGTAAAGCTGCGGTAATGAAGACGGTGTGGGATGAGTGAAAGAAGAGAAAATTGGATTTGTGGAAGTGAATAGAGAGCCCAGAAATAGACCCACATCATCAATGGCCTTTGACAAAGAAGCAAAAGCAATACGACACAGTGAAGACAGTCCTTTCAACCAAGAGTGCAGAACAACCAGATGTGCAGGAAAAAAAAAAAAAGTCTAGACACAGACCTTACTGACTTCACAAGAATTAATTCAAAACGGATCACAGCTCTAACTGGGAAATGCAAAACTATACAACTCTTAGAAGATAACATGAGAGAAAATCCAGGTGACCTTGGGGTCCAGTGATCACTTTTTAAATGCAGCAGCACCCAATGCTGGGGGGGGGGGGGGGGAGCAACAGGAGCTCTCGTTCTCTGCTGATGGGTAGCAACAGCAAAGGAAGGATCCAGGAAAGAAATCATTAATCAGCTTCATTAAAATGAAAAACTCCTGCTCTGTGAAAGACACTGTCAAGAGTCTGAGAAGACAAGCCCCAGATTGGGAGAAAATATTTACAAAACACATATGTGATAAAGGACTGTTATCCAAAAGAGACAAATAACTAACCCTAAACTAAAGAGTAACGGGGGGGGGGGGGTGGTGGTGGTAGTGCACACCTGTGATCTGGAGTGAATGGGGAGACTGAAGCAGGAGGATTACAAGTTCAAGGCCAGCCTCAGCAACTCAGTGAGACCCTGTCAAAAAAAACAAAAGGTTTGAGAATGCTCAGTAGTAAACTTCCCTGGGTTCAATCCCCAGAACCAACCAACAAAACAAAACAAAAAAATCCCCCAAAACAAAAACGAACAACAAAGAAACTCCCAACTATGAAGTAAACTACCTCATTTTAAAATGACCAAAAATTTAAGCAGACGCCCCCACCAAGGAAGATATATAGGTAATCTGAAAATGATGTATACATCATTAGGAAAATGCAAATGAAAACAGCAAAACACCACAGCGCACCTATTAGAAGGCCCCAAATCCAGCCGGGTGCAGTGGTGGCGCACGCCAGTGGCTCTGGAGGCTGAGGCAGGAGGATCTCCAGTTCAAAGCCAGCCTCAGCAACAGTGAGGCGCTAAGCCACTCAGTGAGACCCTGTGTCTAAATAAGATACAAAATAGGGCTGGGATGTGGCTCAGTGGTCGAGTGCCCCTGAGTTTAATCTCCAGTATAAAAAAAAAAAAAAAAGAAAGAAAGAAAGAAAAAGAGAAAGGCCCAAATCCAGAACAGCAGCAACACAAACGCTGGGGGTGGGGACGGGGACAGCAGCAGGAGCTCTAGTCTCTGCTGGCAGGAAAGAAAGAGGGTAAGCCTTTTGGGAGGAGCTTCGCATAAAGTGGAACGTAATCTGACCTACGACCCAGCAGCCGCACTCCTTGGTATCCATCCAAATGAGTGGAGAACTCATGTCCCCACAAAAACCTGTCCACAGATGTCTGTGGCTTCTTTATTCATAGCTGCCCAAACCTGGAAGCGACCGAGATTCGTCCTTCAATAGTAAATGGAGAGATTATGGTGCATCTGCAAAACGGAATAAGATCCAGCACGAAGAAGAAACAGATCATCAAGCTGTGGAAAGACGCGGAGGAACTTGACGCTCGTCTTGCTACGTGAGAGAAGCCCATCTGAAAGGCTGTACGGGTGACGTGTGGTTCCCACGACAAGGTGACGTCCTGGAGAAGGCAGAGTCACAGACAGTCGAGGGTCAGTGGTTGGGGGCGGGGGGATGAGTAGGCAGAGCACAGAGGATGGTTCTGTAATGGTGGATCTATGTCCCACATTTGTCCAAACCCGTAGAACTCACAAGCCAAAGAGTGACCTCCAGCGTGACATGGGCTCTGGGTGACAAAGATATGTCCACAATGGGTTCATCTATCAGAACAAATAGATGAGCAAAGTCCCCCATGCTGGGGGGGCGGGTGTTGATAATGAGGAAGGTTATGCTTGTAGGGGGTTGGTAATGAGGTTTGTTTAAACTGCAACATAACAAACAACCCCAAATTTCGTGGTTTGAAAAAAATGGCTCTGTTACCTGCCACAGTTCTGGAGCTTGAGTGGACTCAGCCGGGCAGCTCTCACTTAGGGGCTCATCAATTGCTTAGGGCCTCGCAAAGTTGCTGAGGCTGGCCTCAACCCTCCTGCCTCGGCCTCCTGGGCCTCTGGGATTACAGGCACGCACGACAGCATCCGGCCAGCCATGGCTTTCTTTAGAAATACAATGTGCACGCTGACCTACCTCCTGGTGTGACAAAGGACAGGTGTGCACGGGTCACAGGTTTGCTTCCTGTCCTCCTCCTGTGAACTGTGCACCCACCTTCCAACTGACTGAAGCCCAGGTGTTTCAGGTCATTAGCCCTGTCCCCACACCCCACCCAGGATGAAAAGGCTGCAGCTGAGCTCGGGCCTGGCTGCATGGGGGGCTGAGCCTGAGCCACGAGCTCCTCTCTGCGGCTGAGGCCTCCCTCTCTCCTCTCTGCTCACCGGGAGCCCCCTCCCCTGGCCACGCATCCCCTCCTCATCACTAGGTGACCGCTATCTGGTCACCCAGGAGGTCCCCAGACTCTGTCCAGGACCTGGTGGCTCCAGCACCCCACTCAGAGCCTGGAGGCAGCGCCCAGGACCACTGCCCAGCACTCCCTCCCTTACCCAGCGTGGCCGTGTCACCCGCTCCCAGGGGAAGCCCTGTCCGTCCCTCGTCTACAGCTGACTGCCATGTCCAAGTGGTGCCTGGGCTTCCTCCCCAACCTCCTCTGCCAGTGAGCGCCCACTGGAGAGGCCCAGGGCAGTGGTCAGCCATCACGCTGGACGCTGAGCCTCTGGGGAGCATGGACACACCCTGCTCTCTCCCCTGTCCCCTGCACACAGGGCACTCATCTGGGCGTGAGGAAATGAATGCACCAACGGTGGCCGGGGACCTGTGAGTGGAGCCTCTGTCCGCAGAGGGAACCAAGATTCTCCCCCGTTGCCAGACACACCTGCCATCGTTTGCATCCGATGGGGCAAAGACTTGAAAGACTTGTCTTTGAAGGCTTAAAACCACCGACTTGCCAAACTGCCTCCCCCCTCCCTCCTCTCCTCCGCCCTGGCCCAGAGGTGTCCACTCCACTCTCCACGCCAGTTCCTACTCGCCTAGAGCACGGCCGCATGCTGGTGAGGTGAAAGTCATTTTGCAGCTCAGATTTTTAAAATTAATGTTGTTTCTGAGGTATACGTGTAATTAGAGTCCTTTAAATTTAGACGAAAAAAGAGTACAGAATAAAACTCACCCATATTGCCATAATTACTATGAACATTTCTCAACACTTTCAGCATTTTTCAAAGCATAAACATAGTTCACACTGTTGAAACCATGCAACGTGTGTACTTTGTAACCTACTTTTCAACACATTCTAGCATGAATCCTATCATTAAAACTTCTCCATTAACTTAATTCTAATGTCTGTTTTGAGGGCTGTATAATATTCCGTGTTAGGAAAACTCCACAATTTAAGTAGGTCTTCCAGAGCTGGCCATCTGTTTGGCTTCTCACTTTTTCACGTGATACAGTAAGGAGCCATGGACTTAAGCAGTCTTTGCTCATCCGGCATTCTCGGTTCTTTGGGCAGAAACATACCCAGGGCCTCCTCTAGGCGTGAGTGAATAAGAAGATACAAAATAATAGTAAATACTGATGGCACTTGCTATGTGCCAGAGCCTGTTCTGAGATCTTTGCGTAGAGATTAATTTCATTTTTTATTATGACTTTATGAGGTAAGAACTTTTATTGTCCTCGTTTTGCAGAGGAAACTGAGGTCAGGGACATTAAAGTGACCTGCCAGGGTCACATAACTGGTAGGTGGTAGAGCAGGGAGCAGGACCCCGGCAGCGCGGCTCAGCGTCTCTGTTCTCAACTCCTGCTTCCCACACGACACCAGCGGCAGGGAGGGGGACTGGAGGACCGGAGGGTTCCATTTTCCGTATCAGTAACCTCAATGAAGTTCATCTACTTTTTTTTTTTCCGAGACACACATTCCCTTTGATTCAAGAGTTCCAGTTCTCAGCATTT